TTGACTGATGGCCGTTAATATAAAGACTTCAGACTTCACGTTTCCCAATTTTTGCTTTAAGTTATTTTGTTATTTACATAATAATGTAAATAACCTAATAATGATCCTTATTGCTGTTTTAGAGGAGCGGAGCTTCAAAGGATAGTTGCAGATTTTCTCTCATCTCTCTTCACAGATGAAAAACCACACGACAACATAATACAATCCTAAACAATGTGTCGCACAGATGGACACAATGAACAGCACTCACAGTCAGACTGAAGAGGTTTACAGACACTCAGTGTACACACAGTAACTATACAGACGTGCAAACACCTTTGTTGTCAGTGAGAGCCTCATAGTTTAAAATGCTGCTGGATCACCTCCGCTCTCTGACGGCGTCTCTAATAGTCTCACACATCTGTGTGGGACTGTGCCGTCTGTGGGGACTTTACCCACAGACCCATACACCATGGATCGCTGCTTCCTGTGACTCAGAGTCAGTCACAGATTCTCAGACCCTCACCTGTGCACCTGTGCCACATGCTGATCCGAGTCTGGAAGTTTACCCAGAATGCACTTTGTAAAGACTCTGCTCTACGTCACAGACATGAACCTGCTGCAGACGGAGCCATCGCACTGAAGAGCAGTGAACTGTAAAACAAACCTGTGGCATTGAACAGGTGTGTGTGTGATAGCACAGGGAGTGGGTGGGACTTCCTGGAATATCAGGACGCGGTGTTTCTCAGCACACCAGCTTCAGCAGATGCTGCAGAGAAACCAGGAAATTAACTCTGAACATTCAGTCTCTAAAAATGAATGTTTTTGGTCGGTGTTTTTAACACTGACATTGTTTCTGAAAAGGGCTGACTGCAGCCACAGGAGGGATTACAGAACAGTTTCATGTTGTGAGATGATGAACAGGCTTCTTCAGGAAACTCATGTTTTGTGTTTCAGTTTCTTTTCTCCTGAATAGAAACTACAATATTTCTGTTTAACCGACATCCCTTCAGCAGCAGCCAACATGTTGGAAACGTCCGCAGGGAATGAGTCACTACCTGATATATCCTCCTAAATATGGGCGGAGCAGGAACACACCTGGGAATCTTCAGCATTCACTTGGCGAGTTGCCTGAAGTCTTACTGAGCAGAGTGTAGCAGGGCTCACTGGGAGATCGGCTGGTTTGTTTTGTATTACAGATCTTTTATTATTTTACATCATCCTGCACCGTGGACATGGAGGCTCAGAGAAAGAACAATGGATCGAATGCGATTTTTATTCACAAACATCATTTATCTTTGCATGATTTGAAAATGCACAATCAGCATCTGAGGAACATCTATCTTCTAAAAACAAACATCCCTGAATACCCTCAACCCGAGTTTCACGTGTCCAGTCTGAAACATGACACACAGCACGGAGGGTTATTGAGGATCTGGAAGGACGAAGGCTTCAAGGATCCTCACAGAGGCCTGAAGGATGCAGATGGCCTGTCCCTGGTGTGGTGGAGTCTGGCTGTGGGCCCCCAGGAGATCCAGTCAGCTGAGACCAGGCTCCTCGACAGGTTCTACCCAAACCGGATGGAGCAGCCAGTGAACAGGATGTTACCCAATCAGAACTTCCTCTGGAAGTTTGCCTCCTCTCCAGCCTTCAGTGAGAAGTCCAGATTTGGATCGTACCGCTTCACTTTCCCCCTCCAGGAGGTGGTGAACGCCTACAGCCAGCAGGTACTGACTCCCTACACTTAGCATTAACAGGGGATTGGGGGGCCAGGGGGTGCTGCTGCTGATTCTCATGTCATGGTTGCCAGTATATCCATAGCCTGAATTAAGACATTAAGACCCCATAAATGCACTTAACAGCCTCAGAGACTTAAAGACCTTGAAGGTGATGTGACCGGGAGTGATCGGCCAACCAACTCCAGTGTGTTTGTTCAATTCAATTTATTTATGCAGCACCAAATCACAACAACAGTCGCCTGAAGGCCCTTTATATTGTAACTTAAACCCTACAATAACACATACAGAGAAAAACCCAACAATCATATGAACCCCTATGAGCAGCACTTTGGCGACAGTGGGAAGGAAAAACTCCCTTTTTAACAGGAAGAAACCTCCAGCAGAACCAGGCTCAGGGAGGGGCGGGGCCATCTGCTGTGATTGGTTGGGGTGAGAGAAGGAAGACAGGA